GGGGGGGGGGGGTTAATCTCTTCGTTTTTACTAAGTCTAAGTTGAATCGTATTTTTATGACTCGTTTTGCCTTCTAGAACAGGAGTGGTAGTGTTTTTTGAGCACTAAATTATTATGTCCCAAAAATAAGACAAGGGTTATAATTTTCCAGAGCAGCTAAATGACCAAGAACCCCAAGAGATGTTCATTGTACCATAAATGTAGCATGTTAATTACACTATAAACTGTAACATGCCACACATTTATAGCCAAGTTATGGTGCAATAAAACTGCATACCAATCACAAAAATGTTTCATATTTACTGTGGAACATCTTTGGAGCTATTTGTATCATGCCTTAAATTGAATATGTGGCAATGTGTCTCAGACTTGGGGCTGGTCCACGCCTGGGACATAGCCAATCCCTGGCCCAACACCCAGCATCAGGTAGGGGACAGTCCTGGGTCCCACAACAGAAGCTGTGGGATTGCCCTCTGCCCAATCCTGATGCTCAGCTGCCACAGGGGCCAGGACACAGCTGCTCCCTCCCAGGACTGGACTGGGGCAGCTCCAGGTTCAGCCCCAACGCTGGTGATTTGGACATGAGGAGTGTTATGCCCCATCTGAAACACTGCTGATTCGAACCATGCACCAGGAACTCTTGAATGCTAAACCAAAAGTTTAAACTAAGACCAGGGAGAACTGCTGAGATTTTCCTCATTTTATTTTTTGTAGGGAAAGTGAGATCACATAACTTCCCAGATGGAAGAATTAGACTCTTGGCAAGGGGAACGCTGCTATAAATCACCAGTTGGCAACCTTCTGGTGGCATGGGTTGGAACAACCCAGCTCAGGTCTGAAGTGGGGCAGTGTTCCAACCTAGGCCACACAGATGTTCAGTTTCTACTGGGAGAATTGGTATTCTCTTGGTAGAAACCAAAAATGTGCAGACATTCAGGCATTTTCTCCTAGAGCAATATAACTGCTCTGAGGGAAAAAAATAACTCAGCAACAACCAGGTAGAAAACACTCCCAAAAAAGTTTTTCCTGGGAGACCAAATGTCTGCACACTTTCCTCTGGTTTAACTCCTCCTAAGGAACAGGAATGGAGCAGCAAGAACAACTCCCATGCCTTTCAGAGACCAGGGTCACCCCAGTTTGAAGAAGCTACAAGGGGCAGGTGGCTCCTACCCCTCCCACAAACTGGTAGGGGAGGAGCAGCTGCCAGCTGTTCCCCACCTGCTCCTCATTCCAGAACTCCCAGGAGCTCTCAGGGAGCAGACACTGCCCACTGCCTGCTTCCCTTGCAGCCTCCGCCCCTTGGAGGTTTTCCCCAAGCCTGTCTCCTGCCCCCACAAGTTTTTAAATCATCACCCCTGCTGTTCAGCGGCACTGCCGCTGGGGATGGAAGTGGGAAGGGAAGTGGAGAGGACAAGGGGAAGAAGGCAGGGGGAGCTCCACCCCCTTTGCTCAGCTCCCAGTACCAAGACCTGAGCAGGGGGAGCAGCAGGGCAAAGCCCCTGCCAACCTCTCACAATGGGAACTCTGGAGCAAGCAGGCAGCTGCGCCACTTTGCTCTGAGTACTGGTGCCTAGGAGCTGAGCAGAGAGAGCAGCATGACAAAGCTCCTGCCTACCTTTCATACAGGAGTTCCTGGTGTGAGAGGCAGTCAGGGGCTTTGCTGTATTGCTCCCTCCACTTGGCTCCCGATGTCAAGAAGCCTAGCAATGGGAGTTGCAGTTCCCTGCTTGCTTCTCACATGGGAGTTCCTAATTTGAGAGAGGCAGGAGGGGATTTCACCCCAGTGCTGCAGTCCCTCTAGGAATGGAAAGATCACCCTAGTCTGGGGAAGGCACAATGAGTATGAGGGGGCAGTTGCAGACTAAACATCTATACTGCTTCCCCTCTTGAAATCATTTCTAGTAGTGGAAATTTTCCACAGCTAGAACTGAACATTTGTATGCAGCTCTAGTCACTTTTACCACTTCTCCCCAAGCCCCCAGCTGCAGCACAGGTGCAATTTCCAGCTGTCCAGCACCACCAAATCCCACCAGTTCATGGATTACTGCCTACATATGTAATTACAAAAGTAGTAGTGATGAAACTTACAAATAAAAATTCCAATACCAGCATGACACCCCGATTATCCTGAAGTTTCACTTCATTAATCCACTCGTATGCACAATTTAAAGAAAAATCCTAAACATGCACAGTACACCAGGTTCATTAACTGAACACTTAGTCCTTTGAAATGCTACAATGTGCATGCTTAAAGGCAAATATTTATCAGATACAAAACAGTTAACTGAAGGAAGTTTATTCCTGCTTCCCACCCCACCAAGACCATTCAAGACCAACTCAAGTGATTTTAAGTCATTCCTTACATTCAGATTAACCTAGTCAGAGTGCAAGTGTAAAATTTCAAACCCTAAAATAGGGGGAAAAATTTTTATATCACTTCAAATGGTTTAACTTCTCAGCTGTGATTATTTATATGTGATTATTATTTAACCAGTGTGAAATTACTGTAAAAGCAAATTAAACTAAACACAAAAAGAGGCAGCAAGATAGTATGATCCTGGATATCAAGAACAAAATAAAGACAGGAGTTTATCTAAGACCAGACCATTCTACAATACCTGTAAACTAGAAAAATTTTAAAGCATGAAATGTACGTACCAGTAATCCTGAAGTACTGATCAAAAAGTCCAACATTTACTGATTGCAGATCATTAAGTTTTAATACCAAGCAACATGAGAGGTGAAAAGAGCTATTTTCATAATCCGAGTTTTTTTGGTTCCAAAAGCCTAATAAATGGAAAGGAATATATAGTATAAGACATAAAGGGAAAAATGCTTACTGCATCTCTTCAAATGAATCCCTTCAAGGAAGATACCTTTAAAGATAACATTATCTGGCTCTCAATTTAAGGGAAAAAAGACAAAAATAATCAAATAAAGACATCTATTGTACATGTAAAAAACTTTTTACTTTTTGTACTAAAATTTGATATGTAGGAAATTTTATAAGAAATACTTTGATTTTAAAGATAAGCCTTCTGTTTGAAGAAATATGCCTTCTGTTTGAAGAAATATTTTATAAATATGTTGATTATAATGAATGCTGATTGGCTGTTATTCTCAAAGGCAGGATTTAGCTCTCACATTTTAGGAATGACAGTTAGTGGCAGCTTCCTTAGGTGTGACGACTTTAAAACTTAGTTTTAGTAAGGGTGCACTGAAGATTTTTTGGGCTGATACCAATGGCCAATTATTGACCAGCCATATTGACCAATACTGATCCGACTGCTGACATGCAGCCCAGCAGCTTGGAGAGCAGCGTCCGGCTGGTCTGTTGGGGGGGAAGGGAAGGGGTTTGGGGTCCACATTGAGGCCCCCATAGTGGGGGAGGGAGTGGGACTCAGGCAGGAGCTGACCAGCTGGGGTGGATTTGGGCAAGGAGCAGCCTAGGAAGTTGTCAGGTGGTAGATAGGGAAATGGG